CTCATGCTCTCTATGTATGCTTTTTCATCCATAGATGGCATGGTTATCTGATATTATCATGAGCTATTTCTGTCTCAAGTCAATTTCCTTTCGCCGAGTCATCTGGGAAGGATAAACACATCATCAGGTGGCTGTGATTTGTGCGTGAAGGTGACGCACAAGGTTGCGTGCAAGTTATCCTGCACACCTGAAATGATCGATTTTCCCGTAGCTCAAACCAGGCCAACCGCTAAAAAAGTATTCTTTCTGCTCACCGTGCCTCGGATTGCATGGAGAACAGCCCAGACCCTCGCAGCATCGCATAACGTCTTGAGGGAATAGTGGTAACTCGAATCAGCTGGTAGCTGCTGAGGAAGGGTGTACATTACTTCTTAACGGACATAGAAAGGCCCAAAATAGCGTAGCTAACTCAGCCTTGAGTATAATGAAAGATAGCCAAGACAAGAAGTTATCAAGTGACCTCAGTTTAATCTTCAACATGCACGATTGACTATCAATGCATGTGCAGCACACACATTGATAGTCGATCGTTCATGATAAGCTGTTTGTTGCTTGATCGTGACTCGTGTCGATGATACGAGCCTGAGGGATCTGTGTCAGAGATCAGTGTTCAGAGATCTGTGTCTTGATCTATTCGGGGAATGAATAATTATCTATGCGCACACGTTGTGCATGTGTGCCATCCATCGCGCACAATGGGTAGAAATTGGAGACAGTCCCGCAAGCGAATGTTGAATGATCGCAGAAAATGCCGTAATGTGTTTACACAACGAGTTCAAGTTGAAATCCCGCAAGCGGCGTTTGCTGCGCAAAATTTGTTGTTGAAATTTTCAACAATAAATTTTGCGCACACTTGATCATAATCTAGCACTTTGAGCTACTCTTCAGCACTTTGAAGAGACACTGTTCATTAACTTCTATTCTGTAGCATTAGCTATTCGGCACTGAAGAAGCTGTCATCGCCGCCGCGAAGGCTCTGCAAGAGGTCAACGACAGTACGGAGCGTACCGCCGCTCAACCAGCCACCGAACGATCTGCTCGAGCTTAGCTCGAGAAGAACCCGTTTCTTACATCAGGACGGCATGCTCAACAAAGCTCCTTCTAAATTCGAATTGGACACGTTAGCTACAATATTGCTATAGGCTTCCATCCATCTGGCTGAGACCTTGGATCACAGTTCTTGTCATTGTCTCATAGTTTCCACCATCGGTGAAACCACCGGTGTTCCCTACATCACGCTGAGGGCTTTATAGTCTTTTCTCCATCTCTCGGAACCCAAATTCCGTCTGTCTACATCACGCCAAGACTTGGCGGCCAAGTCCGTAAATTGGCACAGTGCCTCGGATCGACTGCGACTTTCCTCTATACATGTATTGCAAGCCTTCAACCTCTGTGCATGACCAGCGTGGGAGCATATGGCATATGCCCATGGTCAACTACACGTGTTGCTGAAAATATGAAAACTCCGAGGGAATTTGGAGGAATTTCCATTGGTTTCCCTACATTCCTACCCGAGTTCGTCTGCAAACTTCAATAGTTAGTAGTGAAAATTCTGAGCTCAGCTGAGAAGAGCGAGCATTTATTCCAAACCTGATCA